ACAGGAAGGACACTAGAACCAAAGAATCTATGCATGCAAGACATCCTTTACAAATTGGAAATCCTCAAACAATACAATGCTTTCTAAACATGGACGGCAAAATAAGAACAAAAAACAAATCCTACCAAAAATATCAGGGAAAATGAAGAAAACCACATCAGCCGACAACAAATTCAAAAACTGTCTGGAAGAGAAAATAGCTATAGTTACTTTCCCAGACTAACACAAATTACTAAATAAACGAACAGGACTCAAATCAAAACTAAAAGATAAAAAAGATAAAAAAAAAAAACAGAATAAAAAATAAATACAGTATGCAATGGGCAAATCGTTGCTATTTTACATTTTAATTTTGCGCATGCGTATTGTTCGTTTTTGGTTTTGTCGACTGTACAGTATAGAGCACCATGACACAATTTACTCCCCAGAAATTTGGAAGCTGCGTGCTGTACTGCTTGGCATTCGGGCCGCAAGCACCAATATGAATATTTGGAAGTGTTTGGGTGTCAATCTGAGGACAGTACAGAGGATTCGGAAAGAGTTGGATGCGTCTAACGGTGATTACGAAGGTACGGCAGCTCGCAAAGTTCACTCTGATCGTTCTGATAAGAAAAGAACTCCGAAATATGTTGGTGTGCTCCTCAAATTGAAAACAGAGGTCTACATCATGGACCTTAAGGAGTTAGTACTGCACTAGGTCAAGAGGGTGGCTGCTGGGCGACCCTATGTCTCTAACAGGACTATCTCTCTCTCCATATATATATATATATATATATATATATATATATATATATATATATATATATATATATATATATATATATATATATAGAGAGAGAGAGAGAGAGAGAGAGAGAGAGAGAGCGTATATTTTGCAGCATGTTTTCATTAAGACGTCTCATTGAATAATTTTATTAAGGGTTGGTATCATTTTTTTAATATAAATAGCTTCAAGAATTTTTAGTTTATATTTATAAAATTGATTATGAATACTGTTTAATAAAATAAATCATGAATACTGCTCAAATGTTTTAAAATGTTTACAGCAGATAATTTAAAATATCTATGTTTTAACTAATAGCCTTAAATAGTTTTTATAAATAGATACATATTTTAATAACTTAGTTACCTCCCTTGACGTTACTGTCCAAATATGCTATTTTTCACCGCAAGCAAGCAGGGGTGCCACTAGAACGCAAGGGGTTACAGAAAGTGGGAGCAAGAATAAAGAGGCGTGATAGAAGAAATGATGAAGAGAAGGACGGGGAATAGATCAAGGCATCTGGATATGTCGATTGACATTACGTTTGAATAGTTGGAGATTATAGCTATCAGGGAAGCAAGTAAGAGGAAGGGAGTTCCACAGACGGGAAGTGCAAGTCATGAAGCTATTGGAATAGACGGCTACACACACACAAACACGCACACACACACACACACACACACACACACACATATATATATATATATATATATAGGTTGCCATGGATAAATTGTCACCTAAATTACGCAAAAATGAAAATAATGACATCTCATTTTAACAGATATATTTATCAAAATTACACAAACATATCTTGAAATACTAAAGAATAAATTTATTCAATATAATCGCTATTGACTTCATCCACGGCCTCCAAACGACTTGGGAATATCCTGCCACTCTGCTGGGCGGACTCCTTGTTTAAGTTTGTGAATGCTGCCACAATACTAGTGTTCAGTTCATCTTTGATGTTACAAAGAGATTCGTTGGTCACTCGTTCAACTGAACCCCCCCCCCACACACACACATAAAAATCAAGTGGGTTGCGGCCTGATGAGTTACGTGACCAGATGTAAGGGATAATGTAGTCGCAGAAATTGTCTTACAGCCATGACTGGATTCTCCTGCTTGTGTGGCATGGTGCAGAGTCCTGTTGCCAGACATAGCGTCTTCCAGCAGCCACCCTCTTGACCTAGAGTAACAGTATCTCCTCATGGCACTTGATGTAGGCTTCTGTATTGAGTCTGAGGCCTTGTGGGAAGATGAATGGAAGCATAACGTCCCCATCACTAGTGATCACTCCAAACATCTTCATAATCACCATTAGACTCATCCAACTCTTTCGGAATTCACTGTACTGTCCTCAAATTGACACCGAAACAGTCTGAAATGTTCGTATTGGAGCTTCCGGTGCGAATGCCAAGCGGTACAGCACGCCGTTTCCAAGTTTCTGGCGGAGTGAATTGTGTCATAATGATCTTTTTCTCAAAGACAGTGCATTCAACAAAATAAAAAAAAATCAACGCGCATGCCGGAAATTAACAATATAAAATGGTGACAATTTACTAACCACGCCTTGTATATATCCAAGAGTGGGTGCTGAAATGTTTTCGGCGCAAACAAGAATTTCCTAGTTCCCCCAAAATATGGCATTGAGTGATATCGGCAAATTTTTTTGAGTCGATCCGAGTATTTTTCAACATTTCACTATATATATATATATATATAAAAGAAGAGAAGAGAGGTACTGCAAACGTTTTTGGTTATAATATGGATTTTTTTAAAAATATTATGCTTTATTTTCCATAATTTTACTGCACGTGTTTCTGGTCTGGCGACCGTTTTCAGGTAAAAGCGGAGATTTCCACATATTATTAAAAATAATTAATTTTTTTCCCTTATTAATTATTTATTTATATTATTAGTTATTTATTTCCGTAATTAATTATTCTTAATAATATATAGAAATCGCCGCCTTTTACCTGAAGACGGTCACGAGACCAGAAACGCGTGTAGTAAAATTATGGAAAATAAAGCATAATATTTAAAAAAAAAATCCATATTACAACCAAAAACGTTTGCGGCACATCTCTTCTCTGCTTTTTAATATACACACTTTTCTCTCGTTGGAACCACTATAACCTCTTTCTTTTTATTTATATATATATATATATATATATATATATATATATATATATATATATATATATATATATATATATATATATATATTCTGTCAGTGTATCTGAATGTGCGTCATGAATTCAGCTCTCGAATGACACCAGAATGGACCTGTTTCCTGGTTCACTTGTCATGTGCTAAATGACATGTCCCCTTAAATAGCAGTTACACACCAGCAAGTTCAAATACCAAATTAACCAACCGTGGTAATAAACAAAATACACCCCCACTAAAACCTAAGCGCTCAGGTTGGGTGCGCCATAGTCCAGTAGACACCGTGAATGTCTCTTAGTTGCTTAATCTTACACCAGTAACATCTACCAAAACCCTACCCAATTTATCTACCCTTCACCCTTCCATTTTTTTTGGTTACACAATTCTTCCATCAATATTTATTTATTATTTTATTTTATATTTGGCATATTTTCTTGGGCAGATAGTATCCGTTCAGATTGTTGAAAGAAACGTTAAAAATGAGATTGGTTCTTCTCTGTCGTCTCTTACAGAACCCCCCCACCCAAAAAAAAAACAGTTCCTGAAGGTTACCCAGAGATATAATAAAGGAAGTTATTTATCAAATGAATGATCGTGCGGAAACGCGAACAAACGCGCATGCGCACATAGGCATGCATGGACGATGGGATCAAAAATATCTATCAAATTCATAATGGGTAAACAAATGCCAAAATGGAAAAAATAAATAAATAAACGAAATCATTTATGACATGTTTCAATCCAACAATGATTTTTTTTTTACAGGCTAATAATGGTTTTAGCTTACGGCCATATCATGTTGAAACACCAAAAACTAACCAGATTTTGAATTTCCTCGCTGAATCCACTTATGAGCAAATACCCCCGAGAAACATATGTATCCGTCTCTTCCTCTCCACTCAGATATGAGTAAATAACAGGATTCGTTCCTATAGGCTTGATTGGCGACCAGTCTAATGCAGAAACTATAGAAAGTTTATTGATGAAATTCTGCCAAGTTTGTCATGAATGGAAATGAAACATGATCAACGAAGTATGCCTCACGCATGACACCCTTAGGAAGGAAGTAAAAATGGTTTTACCGATGAGGCCAGTCTTAAACTGCAGGCTAAAAGTTTGGAGTCACATTCTGTATTTAATATTTAGTAAGCTTCCTACATTCATTGATTTAATTAACTTTTCAGTTATGTGCTATGAATGATACACGCTGAAGCGATCATGTAATTTTCGATACATGACTAACGAGGCCGATTTTTTCCCGCAGTAGGTTGCCATTTCTTTCTACGGTAGACCAATTGCCAGTTGAGAGAAGAAGAGAATTCATACCTTTCCCAACGGTCAGTCAGTCAGTTATGTGCCATGCGTGATACACACTTAGGCGATCATGTATCTTTCGATACATGACTGACGTAGCAGATTTTTTTCCCGCATTAGGTTGCCATTTCTTTCTGCGGAAGACCAGTTGCCATATAGAACCCAGTCTGCCCTGCTATTTACCCATAGCTGGGGGAGAAGAAGAGGATTCATAACTTTCCCAAGGGTATTAGCACGTAAGTGAATGCAATGGAGTCGACTAGAATTCGAACTCGGCTCTCCGATTTTTCAGTCCGAGCCGCTATCCATTACACCACGGTACTAAGATTTTTCCTCCGCTACTACAGAATGCGTTCCACTCGACTCCCACGTATCATTCTGTTTAGAGAACTCGCCAGCGGCAAGAGGCTACGCGGAGGCCCAAAACAACGCTTCAAGGATCAGTTGAAAACATCCCTGAAACAGGCCAACGTCGACTGTGAGACCTGGGAAACCGTTGCTGCAAATCGGCCTTCATGGCATAGGACCGCGAAGTGGGGTCTGAGACTTTCGATTCCTACCGTCAACATGAAGAGGATATGAGGCGTGCTGTCAGAATGGCCCAACTCGCCCACCCACAGTCATCTAGGACACCTCACGACTCTTCAGGAGTAGGCTGGGCCTTAACAGCCATCTCCGTAACCGCCACCAGAGGGGAGAAAGGGTGTCAAATGATCCAAAGCCCGGTACCAAATAGTCGACTGCCCGGTACCAAATGGTCCGCGGTCCGGTACCAAATAATCCACGGCCCGGAACCAAATAGTTGACTGCCCGGTAGCAAATGGTTCGCGGTCCGATATCAAATGGTCCACGGCCCCGTACCATATGATTCACGGCCCGTTACCAAATAGTCGACTACCAGGTACCAAATAGTCGACTGCCCGGTACCAAATGGTCCGCTCTCCGGTACCAAATGATCCACGGCCCAGTACCAAATGATTCACGGCTCGGTACCAAATATTTGTATACTAGCAGCATGGCCCGGCGTTGCCCGTGCTTGATTCAAAAATCGTACGACACATACAGCAATCGCTATCACTTGACTTAAAATATTTTTGCCCTTCCTTGCCTTTAAACGAGTGCCCTTTGCCGTGCTGATGTTGCTACATGCCTTACTTCTTACCTATCTCACACTGCGAATTTTTTCTGTTCTATACTAAACATTATATCTTACGAAAAAAGAACTAAACAAGATAAACACAAAACGATCAGCTTTAAAAAAAGGACTCGTAACTGGAAAAACTGAATGAAAAAAGAATGTTAACAACAAATACTTTTTCACACCCAACCCAGTTCTGTGGAATCAGAATCAACGTTGAGTTTATGCAAGCGAATGAGCCAATTGGAGTAAAGTGCCATGCAGATTTAAATTTTTTCCACTTGTGACGAATGCAGCTATCGATTTTTTTTGGCATGCTAGCATGCTAGTCAACATTCGTGTCAGTCAGCTGTTGGCTCTCACGCTGGCCAATAGAATCTTCCTGCCTATTCGTGGCAGCCAACTATAGGCTCTCACTCTGGTCAGTAAAAAATGGCCGCAAACTACATGAAACAGCCGTAGAAGCATGAAAAAATCGATTATTTCGACTATCGATGGGAGTTAGGAAATGCAAAGTCGATCTTGGCCTTTCCACTAACTTGGAGCATGTGCATGTAAATTTTGGTGCAAATTTGTCGAAAATTGCGGTCGTGCATTCGTTACACACACACACATCCTGCCCTTTATATATATATATATATATATATATATATATATATATATATATATATATATATATATATATATATATATATATATATATATATATATATATCATAGTTCAGTTAGACCTCATTTATATACCCATGACGACCTACTGGACTCTATTCGTAACATACTTGTTGATAGCACAAATATGATAGCATCGTCCACATGTAAAAAAAGCTAAAAATAATGGAAGCCTTACTCATAAAAACAAAAAAAAAACAACACTTAATAATATCAACTATGAACATGGGCACAATATCTTGACCGTGTTTTGAAAATGAAACATTATATAAATACATACATACAACAATCTATTTCTTGTTAACAGTTATTATATTTGAAACTTGAAAATGGCTAAATGTATAGCCGAAAGCGCTCGAGAAAAAAAGAGCAATTGGACAGATTTTATATAATTTATCTACCGAAAAAAAAAAGTTATAATATCCCGTGAGAAATTGTATAAAAAGACTAAATCAAAGCACTTTGTATGTTATATTATATATATATATATATATATATATATATATATATATATATATATATATATATATATATATATATAGTCTGGAATCAAACAGGACTGACGACTGGGTTTGTACTAGTTTATATGAATAAATAATTAGGTTGCTGGTTATGTATAATCAGATAGCTAGCTAGAGAGAGATACGAACAAACAGATAGATAGATAGATAGATAGATAGATAGATAGATAGATAGATAGATAGAAATTATAAAATATCGAGCTATATATATAGACGCAGAAAGAGAGAGAAATTAAAAACCTGAAGATAGATAGATAGATAGATAGATAGATAGATAGATAGATAGATCATGAAAAATAAAACGAGATATATAGATAGATACATAGCAAAAGACGTCCAATGTTGGGTCTCATCTTTACGGGTGGCTGACTCGCGACGACACAAAGTACTCAACGTACGTTTTCTCGCCGACTGTCAGCGTGTTGCAGCCGACTCTTCGGCTAGGACGCACGATAAATTAGTTATAAAAGCGGGTCCGCTTCCAGCTGTGTGTCTTTCTTGAAGATCCAGGTGAGACTTAAGAAGAAGGTGACACGACGTTACCCATATTTCAACAGATGCGCGCAGTATTGCGGGAATGTTAAAACAAGTCCGATTATGCCTGTAAATATAAAATAAAAAAGTAATTTTTTTATGTATGGTTATCAGCAAACAAAAAATGTCCAAACACGTGAATTACAAGTTGATAATGCCAAAAGGGTGCAAGTACAAAAATTTAAATATCTAGGACGTATTTTAACGCAGGACGGAAAATGCGACCTCAAAATCATAAGTCACATTGGGAGAACGAAAGATGCCTTCCAAATGTTAAGCAAAGTATTAAGAAACAATGAAATTTAGTTAGGAACGAAGAAAAGCGTTCTGAACTTTTATGGTATATCAGCCCTCCTATATTTTTTAAATTATTTCAGATCAAGCAATTCAACAAAGCCACCGCATGTACAAGGGGTTAAAAAGTATATGAGAAAAATACTATTAAGGAAAGAGAACAATAAAAGAACAACAATTAAGAAGACAGAAGATAACGATTGATATTGCCTTTAAATTTTTGAAGATCAAAGTTGACTAGGCAGCAAGCAACCAGAAGTGGTTTCCACAAGCGAGAGGTGCGATAGAAGAGATTGTTAGCATAGAACTTATGGTTACATCGATCCGTTTCAACTGTAAAATGATGAGACCTTTCCGCCAATCTAGTACTGCGCTTAAATTCGTAAAGTCTCGGTACCATAGAGGAAAGTGATATTTATTCTGTTTAATACAGAAATGTGGCACAAGGCCGAAAAGGGGATTGGGGAAAGGACGGTCTTCTTCTGTCTTAACTATAACTTAGCTAGCCGCAAGCACTGACCCAATCTTACGAAACAATATTCCTTACACCAAAACAACACATTCATTCGTACCTTTCTTACTACAACCACCATAATACCTCTTTGTCTCTATGAAAACACTAACTAGTCCCCATATTTACAATTCGTGGTCTGTGGGGGGAAGGGAATAAAACAACAATTCTAAAAGTTAACCCCAATGAGTATTTACAATATGCATATAAAAACTATTTACAAGAAACTAAAGAAAATAAGATTAGTAATAAAACCCCCCACAATTACTAAATGTGACAGAAACATCACTTCACTGGCCGAAATCAATGCGGGACTATAATAGTATAAACCATTCATTCATCCCAATCACTCAGACCATAGAGGAAAGTTCATCAGAACAATTACCATGAAAGTATTTATAGAAAAGACACAGGGTAAGTACATTACGGCGGTGGAGAAGAGACTGAAGCCGAGATGCCAGGTCAGGACCAATAACATTGCAGATTCTTCTTTGGATTTTATCGAGAATCTCTAAATATATAGCAGGAGCACTAAACCATATGTGGCAGCAATAATCATGATATGAATAGTAGATTTATAAATATGTAAAATAGGTTCTAAAGAGAAAAAATGCCTAACATGACACTGAACTAACTTTCCTTGTAGTAGATCTATTCAATATAATCTTACCACTTCATGTCAGCAGCAAATGTTAGTCCGAGAAGGCGTAACGAGTCACTCTTCTGGAGGTTAGCATCAGCCATATTGAGGGTAGGTAGAAAGGGGTCTCACAGATGACTGATAAAGGGCAGTTTCATTTTGGAGTCATTAAAATTAATAAGGCATTCCTTGCCTCAGTTAGCAGTAGACTGTAGGTCATTTTTAGATCAGCTGCCAATTTGATCAGACTTGCTATCAAGACAGGAGTAAATAGTTATGTCATTAGCATAGATACTGAATTGGGAATTGGTGACATCAGGAAGGCCATTGTTGAAAATTAGGGACAACGTAGGTCTAAGTGTAGAGCCCTTGGTCACACCTGTATTAATGCAGAAAAATCTAGAAGAATGACCGTTCAAGCAACCTTTTCATTTCGCGATTAGATAAAAAAAAGACTCGTCCAGAAATACCATACGGCAGTTAAAGCTAAACAATCTTATCAAAGATGAAGAAAAACCTGAAGGTAAGAGGATATGCTTCTACAGAAGGATGTTGGGGATATCTTGGATTGAGCAACGACAAAGTTTTACAGAAAATTGAAGCAAAAAGGATATCTCTATCTATAAAAGGCAGTGTGTGTGTGTGTGTGTGTGTGTGTGTGTGTGTGTGTGTGTGTGTGTGTGTGTGTGATATTTAATTTTTCTTGTGTTCGTACAATTGTTTTCTTTTATGGACACAAAGTGTGTAAAAACTGTCCAAAAGTTCGGCATATACGAGCGCTTTCGGCTATTCTTTTAACCATTATCAAGGACGATTTTTATGTTTTTTAATTTCTACCTTCATATGTGTGCGTTTTTTGTGTATGTGTCTGAAGTAATAGAAATATTTTATTATCCAGATACGGTCAGCACGTTGTAGTCGTGTTCATTAGTTAAATGTTACAGTGTTGGCTTTACCTTTTTTAGTATTAATGCGTCCATTATTTTCAATCTTTTTTTTTTACATGTGGATGAGACTATTAGGCTTGTATTTTCTACTAGTATACATACACACACACATACACACACACACACACATATATATATATATATATATATATATATATATATATATATATATATATATTTGATTAAAGAATTTCGAATATTGACTTCGGCAGGCATGTCCTCCTACGCCGTAGGATTGGCCTTACACAATCTTCTTAACCCATTGTCATATAGGCGTGTCTTTGTAAAAAAAAAATTGCCGCACATTCTTAGCATATCTATCTATCTATCTATCTATCTATCTATCTATCTATCTATTGGGTTGGGACAAAAACCCGTTGCATTTTTCAATAGGCGACGTTTGAAATCCTAATTTCGTTTCACATTAGACTGAGATTTATGACATATATACATCTTATGAAAGCTGACATCTCAACGCGTCGTAATATACGATTCATACGTGAATTGAGAATTTCGATTTTTTTCGTTAAAAGTTAAAATGGAGGAAAATAACACATTTTTTTTTTTTTGTTATTTGATGCTCTTTCATTTTCGGTAAAGAACAAATAAA